TATATATATATATATATATATATATATATATATATATATATATATATATATATATATATATATATATATATGTATATATTCTTTATATATATAAATATATATATTCTTTATATATATATATATATATATATATATATATATATATATATATATATATATATATATATATATATATATATATATATATATATATATATATATATATATGTATATATATATATATATATATATATATATATATATATATAAAGAATATATATATTTATATATATAAAGAATATATATATATATATATATATATATATATATATATATATATATATATATATATATATATAAAGAATATATATATTTATATATATAAAGAATATATACATATATATATATATATATATATATATATATATATATATATATATATATATATATATATATATATATATATATATATATATATATATATTGTTATTTTTAAAAATTTGAATAATATGTTTTTTTATCGTGTCCATAAGGTGGCCACTAGCATTTTTAAAAACCGCTAAACCATCATCTCGGTATAAGCCAAAATCTGTCTTATTATAATGCTGTGATAGCTGAAAAAGAAGAAAAATTCCGACAAGCTCACATACTTCTGCGCCGTCAAAAGCACCCACAGCTATCACAGCATTATAACAAGACAGATTTTGGCTTATACCGAGATGATGGTTTAGCGGTTTTTAAAAATGCTAGTGGCCACCTTATGGACACGATAAAAAATTATATTATTCAAATTTTTAAAAATAACAATCTTTCTATCTTCATAAAATGTAACATGAAAGTTGTGAACTTCCTTGATGTAACACTTAATCTCAATGATCAATCTTTTAGACCATTTTGTAAACCAATCAATGAACTAAATTATATACATGTTGATTCCAATCACCCTCCTAGCATAATAAAGCAACTTCCTCGTTCTATAGAATTAAGGTTGTCAGCTAATTCATCTAATGACGCTAGCTTTCGAAGCTCTGCTCATTTGTATCAGGATGCATTAAAAAAGTCTGGTTACAAATTTAAACTTAATTATATTCCGAAACTCATTCAACCTCTACCAAAAAACCGTAAGCGCAATATAATCTGGTTTAACCCCCCATATAGTAAAAATGTTTCTACTAAAATTGGTAAAATCTTTTTGGATTTAATTAACAAGCACTTTCCAGTTGGACATAAATACCACAAGATTTTTAATAGAAATACTCTAAAGGTGAGTTACAGTTGTATGCCAAACATTAAATCAATCGTTAACTTTCATAACCGTCATATTATGAAAAGCATCCCCCCAGAATCAGATAAAAGTTGCAATTGTATTACTAAAAGCAAGTGCACTTTAAATCAACAGTGTCTCGTTAATAACATAGTGTATCAAGCCACTCTATATCCAGGCACTCCAGACGGGATTGAAAAAGTGTATTTTGGAGTTAGTGAAACTGCTTTTAAACTTAGATACGCTAATCATACAAAATCTTTTAAGATCGAAAAATATAAAAACGATACTGAGTTGTCTAAGGAAGTATGGAAGTTAAAAGAAAATGGATTATTAAACCCGACAATTAAATGGAAAATTTTAAAACGTTGTAGATCTTACAATCCCACAATAAAACGATGCAACTTATGTCTATACGAAAAGTATTTCATAATATCGTACACCTATGATAACTTATTAAATAAGAGGAATGAATTAGTATCTAAATGTAGACATAAAAGCAAGTTTCTCCTTTCGAATTTCGATACGGGTGATTAGGCAGCCGTTTTTAGTTTTTTGTTTTTGTTTTGTTTTGACGACGGAGCACACTCCACTGTAACTTTATATTTTAACGGTTTTTTTTGTTTCTTGTTTTGTATTACATGGCTGATGATTGCCTTTAGGTATGAAACTATTAGTACCATAAAAAGTTGTTTTTCTTTATTTTTATAAATTAATATATATATATATATACATATATATGTATATATATATATATATATATATATATATATGCATACATATATATATATATATATATATATATATATATATATATATATATATATATATATATATATATATATATATATATATATATATATATATTTATATATATATATATATATATATATATATATGTATATATATATATATATATATATATATATATAATATATATATATATATATATATATATATATATATATATCCATTCTCAAAAGATAAACGGAATTTATTACTATTCTCAAAAGATATACGGAATTTTATTCTCAATGCAACTATATATGAAAAGACAGTTTTTAATTTTTAAAGTTGTCTGTCTGAAGATATTTAAATGAACTTTTTCAGGTAGAACTATGTAAACCTATTTGTTTGTTTAGCCTTTTCCTGATTTTCAAGGAGAGGTTTTTTTAAGAATAATTTAGCCCGTAATATAAATACCGAATAGTGAGATATAAACATAAAATATAACTTTAGTGCTACTTCTTCGACATTTTCTAAGTTTAAATAAAATTGTTGAAGAAAACTGTAATCGTATTTGTATTTCGTTTAAATAAAAATAATAATACATTTAAAAGTGACAACCATTGAAAGTGTACTTTAAGTTACAATACACTTTCAATAGTGATCAATTTAAAAGTATTACTGTTTAAAATGTACTGTTGTTATATCATAACAAAAGTAAAATATAAACTATACTATAAATATGTACTACAACAATAAAATGGTAAATCACATATGCAACATAACAATAAACCGTAACAAGAAAAAGCCCACCTAATCTTTTTTATTTTTATTTTAACCTTGCACGTCTATATTAATCCTCTCGTTGCGCAAAAATTTTGGTTCTGGCGCGAAATAAAAATTTAATTGCAAAGGGTTATCGGAATTAAAATTGACATCTTATTAACATTGTATGTTTAACGTCGAGCATCTGACATTAATCCAACGTTAGATTTTGTCAGTTGACATCGTCGATAAAAATCGAACCTAATGGTGCGATGGAATTAAGTCGGGTGCCCACTGGGAAATTAACTAGAACATCAAAAAAAAAAAAAATTAAAAAAATGCGCAAAAACTGATTATAGAGCTTATAAATAAAATTTTAGGAGCATGACTTTTTAGGATTTGCCTTAGAATACTATGAGCTAGCAAAAAAATATATATATTAGCTTATTACATCCATTATATCCATCGTTGTAATGTAAATATATTTAATTTTTCTACATGATTAGTTTTGTTTTATAATATACAACTCTATCAAACTGAGAGTTGTATTTTAATTTCATTTATTTCAGTTTCATTATCATTTTTATTGATTTGTAGGAAAGCAATTTTTGGCACTTTGTTTCGTGCCAATTACTTACGTGATTTTTTTAAAAAGTAATCAACAAATCATGTTTATGCTTTTTTAAAAGCTTAGAATTGTATTATTTCTTTGACATTTTAATTTCTATCTCATAAAGACGTTTATAATTTTTGTAATTAGTATCATCCCTGAAATGATAATTTCCGGAAATTGTTATTGTGAAGTTGTTGTAATTTATAAAGAAACTTCTCATATACCTTTTCTGCGTGTACAAGAAAAAGAGGGTCAACGCAGTTTAAATCTGAAAGAAGAGAATTAAAATTTCAATGAGTTCATTTTTTTTGCTGCCTAATTTTTTTCATTTTATTGTGCATTAATATTTTTGCATTTTGTTAGTTACAAAATGAGTGAAGTGATCTGAAATGCATTTAAATATACCTCTTTTTGTTTTTGATTGGAAATAATTTATGACTATTTGATATATGACTACTTCGTTTTTTTAGGGTTTTTTAGGGTTTTTTAGTTATAGGTATTTTTTAGGGTTTATTAGTGAAATATAGTCGAAAATAACCTATAATTATAATTTATACCAATTTTGTTAGCTTATGTAACTACAACTGCAATATTTTTTTTATTGAATGAATTAATATAACTATTGGTTATATTTTAATTACTGTTTATGTTAATATAGTGTTTATTTTTGTTAATTTTTAGATATATTGCAAAAAAGTATTTCTTTAAATAAATAGTTCGTTGTTGTTGTTGTTTTTATCGTTGTTGTTGTTGCTGTTTTGATAATGGCAGTATAGACACTTTTTTACAGAAAGTTTTGCTTACTACCCAGCCGGCACAAGGACGTCTACAAGACACCTAACGGTAACTTAAGTAAGCGTCTGAAGTACGTCTTAAGACGTCTATTTGTTAACACCTTTGAGATGTCTTGTATACACGTATACAAGACGTTTTGATACAGACGTCTATAAGAAGTCTAGCATTAGATGTCTCTTAGACGTTTTATTGAAAACTCGCCTGAGCGTCTAAAGAACGCCTTAAAACGTCTGTTTGTTAACACTTATAAGACGCCTTGCTGAGACGTCTGGTAGACGTTCTCTCAGTATTCGTAATAATACATATCGAAATGACTAAGAAAACAGATTTGACATTTGAATTATATTTAAAATTACATTTTATATATTATTTTACGTCTAAGATAATTAATAACCAAAGTGTAAAAAAATATATATTTGCAATAAAACATACTATAATTTTTTTTTTTTTTCAAGAGAATGGTATCTTTTTTGCTCGTGCAGGTGTATTTCTAAGAAGGCTCTGAACAGCTTGGTAAAATTCTTTTTTCGTCATCTTAGAAAACTTAAGCGTCAATACTTTATATATTGTTTTGTAGGTCTCGGTTCCCCCAAAAGCTAACTTATTTTGGCTTGCCGAACCATTCATGTTCATTTCACGCATGGCAAAATCGGTGAAAAATTGTTTCATTATGTTCTTGATTGTATCTTTGTAATCAAGCCCTCCTATTTGCTTTAGTTGTGCAATCTAAAAAGAAAAAGTCACATTAAACTAGCAGTATCTTTGTGCCTTTACACACACACACACACACACACACACAAACCGTGCACCGACATAATGAATAATATCGATATAATAATCTTACTTTTTCTTCTAGGAATGAATTCAATTTCACACTTGCTTTAAAAAGAAAAAACTTCTCTTTTGAATTTATACACTTAATGTCAAATAATGATACTGGGGTTTGTTAATAAATTGAAGTTGTGGGTAATGATAAATTATTGGATATATCGCTCATCCATTTAACAACTTTTTCTTGAAATGCCAGAATTTGTTGTTGAAAACCTAAAGAAAAAAGTTTATAATTTAATATTTGTAAATTGAACTGCTACTATTTAATTTCATCATTTATCCTCTCAATAAAAAGATTTAAAGTAATATAAAAAAAACTGTCTTATGTAATTGATAGTTAAGAATTTAAAGTATTTGAATAACGCAAACTTACTTGCATTTGATAAAGGGTTACACTTGAACTTAAAGTTTGAATAAGTTCGTCTGAAGTAAATAGTTTTATTAAAATGGAAAAAAGACAGCTTTAAAATAATTGCAAAAAATTCTAAACATAAGTTCAGTTTTCAGAACAATAATTGTGCAATACCAGAGGTGTAGGAATTGTAGACTACACCACTTTACCTTCCCATAATGCTACTGTGTTGTTTAATCATTTATAAAGGGTGGCCACCTACTTTAATTATCAAATTTACTAATTTTTTCCTAATTTATCACAATTGAATTTATATTTGCTAACAAAATAAAAAAAATCAATAAAAACATATTTTGAAATAAATTTGATAAGTTGAAAGGCTTGTTCTAAAAATAATTTAAACACCCTAATTTTTACTGACCTAAATAAAAAGACCTAACCTTTCCATGATTTTAAATTTTTTGACCACCCTGATACCACCACTATATAACAAATAATGCTATGAATTTTACAATATTTTTATTTAAAGTAATTAAATAATTAAATAATTACCATTTATGATAGAACTTTTTCGTTTTGAAACCTTTCTGAAAATTGATGATTCCAATTTTGAGTCGTCACAATCACCACAATCACTTATTGAATGTGGTTTTTGCTTTCGGTGTAAAATTTTATCATTTCCATAGTGTTTTGAATTTGTTTCATGAAACACTGGTAAATCAATACTAACTTCATGATACTCATTCTGATTGCCACCCTTTTCTTTTTCCGTTATTCCTTCATCCTGAGTTATATACTCACATGTCATGCATTCAGTTTTATCAGCTACAAAATATTTTTAAACTATTTAATTAGTACAAATATAAAATGTATTACATGTCATAACATCTTCAAAGTTTGAGCATATCATGCAGGGTCAGATTATCTACAGTGCAGATGGGGCATTTACCAGGGCCACAAGGAAAAGTGGGCATAAAAAATTTGACCTTTGAATCTAAAAGATTTTTGAATCTAGAAGACTTTTGTTTGATTTTCCTTTTGAAAAGTTAAGATTGTGTTTTGCCCCAGGCCTACAAAACAGCTATGCTGGCCCTTATGTTATGATGCTATGTTTGATTTAATAAGTAAATGTTATAATAGTAAATTTTATTATAGTAAAAAAATTTAAAATAGTAAAAAAAGTAACTAATCATGTGTCAACTTTATTTTTAAAATTGGAAAATATAGCCAATTATCACTTGGAAGAATATTTTTACTCATTGCTTTTTTCCATGACAATCCTCGTGGCAAACTTCAATCTAAGTATGAGGAACAACATCTTCAATGACATGAGAATGTTCTTTCCATACACATAGTGACCACATTTAAATAGTCAAAAAGTTGATAAAATATGATAAACCTGTGTGAAATAACAAACTGAAACTTTAATAAAAAAAAAAATAAAAATAATACAAATAATAAACCACAAGAAAAAGAAGATGTATAATATTTTATATAATTTACATAACAATAAATAAAAACAGAAAAGACAAATAAAACTTACTTTTTAGTAAAACTTTTCTTAACATATGAGTAACTTAAAAACCATCATTTTATAGCCACAATAAGGAAGTAAGGAAACAATAAAAAATTTATGTTGTAAAAAAGCAACTCCATCAGTACAAATAATTGAAGTATTATTAGTTCATATATCACACTCATTACTATTTTGACACCAATCTATATTAAGGAAAACGTCAAACATAATTATGTTGCAATAAAATATTTATGCAGATATCAATAACAATAATAATATTAATAACAATACTCATATACATGAATATATATATATATATATATATATATATATATATATATATATATATATATATATATATATATATATATATATATATATACATATATATATATATATATATATATATATATATATATATATATATATATATATATATATATATATATATATATATATATATATATATATATATATATATATATTCATGTTCATTAGTTAAATGATTACAGATATTGTTAATTATAAATAAAATTATTTATCATTAATATAGATATATAATTTATTTATTATTCACAATATCTGTAACCATAGCAATATTTTTAAAGATATATACCAAAAAAAAGAATCATTTTGTCTGAGTGCAATAACAGCATGTGTACGTTTCTCTGTTTTAAGGTGAATATTATTTTCAAACTCATAAAGCCGTTTTATAACTTGCCCTATAGAATTATTAAAGTTTTTTACCACCATCTTTAGTTTCTGCATATAGTTTTCAAATAAAAAAGACTATATTTCATCAAGTGAGCAGCCGGTATACTTGATGTCTTCATGTAAACGAACTAGACTATGTACATTATACACCTTGAACGTTGGTTCATAAATGAATTTAGCACTTTGAACAAAATATATCAAAAGGTCTCTTGCAAAGATGTGAAATTTTTCACGGACTTTTTTTTCTGAGCTGCAATTCTGAACTACAAAAGAGTAGTATTTTGAAGCTCTCCACCCCTTACACCTAGGTATGGTGGGTTAAAACTCAAATATCTTTTTGTAAAAATAAATATTATTAATATGAAACACAAACTTTACATAAAAAAAAACAAACTCATAACTATATCCAAAAACTTAATAAACAAAAAAGCTATATACAAATATAAACATAATCAATATATACATACACACTTTACATACACCTATTAATAGGTGTATATCGATTCACTAAAAAGTGAATCTGCATGCACTTATTAATAAGTATATGTATAGTTGTTGAGAACGTTACCCGTTTATAAAAAAAAAAAAAAAAGTTTTTTAAAAATGAAAATAAATAAAAAATAAAACAAAAGAGTTAAAGAATTACCAAGGAGGTCTTGGTTTCCACTCTGGGCGCCAGATGGCAGTGATGGCGTTGAAGATGTTGGTAGGATTAAAGTCTATTGAATAAAAAATCATAAAAAAATATTTTAATGATCTATAAACTTATTTTATTAAACAAAAAAATAAGGTAACAAATAAAATACAGGGCTGCAGTAAATGTTCTCCAGCAGCTAAGTTAATAAAAAGTGTAAATCTATTTAACCTCAATTAACAATTTATTGTTAAAACTAATGCAACATTTATTAAAACAATTATTAACAATTTATTAAAAATTCTACCAAGAATTTCCTTTCTTTTAGCTAAAAATAAAAAATTTTGAAATTATTTTTCTTTAGTATAAATTCAGTAAAAAATAAATAATACGTAAAGTTTAGCAGTGTTATAATAAAATCTTACCATATTTTGTAAGTGACATTGAGATTAACTTGAAAAAGATAATTTTAAATGAAACACACTAACTTAATTAATTTAGTGTGTTTCATTTACAATTAATTTACTTAAAAGTAAATGTTGACATACTATTAAACTTATTAATGGCTATGAAATTTAGAGCATTTAAGAAAATATGCCACATTTTATTTTTTTTTTTTATTTTTTTTTTTTTTTATAAAATGGTTTTCCAAATGAATATCTAAATATTGCTTATAAATATATTATTACTATTGTAGAATTAAAACTTATATATAAATAATTATTTTTTACACAAATACTAAAAAATGAACCAAATATAGTTCATGCTTACTCCAAATGCAAGTGTATATTCAATCCAAATCAAGCTTAGTTGCTCTATATGTCATTTTTAAAGATTTTATCATATCTATGTATATAATTTTTGCTGCAATTGTTAAACCATATGGGACCCATTTCGAATCTCAGCCATTACTCCATTAGTTCAGTTTCATCCCAGCTGAGACCCAGTTGGCGTGGTTAACTGGGCAGTATAATATTTTTATTATTAATTACTTTTATTTTAAAGTAATTCGCAATATAAATTATTTAAATATTTTGTCATATAAAACCTTATACTACAAATTAAAATTTAAGTTTTAATATTTATAATATAACTCAAATTCTAAATATTATCACTTTACAAAACGTGGTATTACTATATTTTGTAAAGTGATAATATTACTATTAGTAAGGCTTTACTAAGTGACATTGCTATATATAAACTTAAGATATCATTTATAAACTAATAAATGTTACATTTAATATATTTTATAAGTTATATATTTGATAGTATATTATTTATACTAAAAGAAGTATATCAATTGTATTACTTATAAAATATGTTACAAAAAATAATATGAAAAAAATTAAAATGTATAATTTTAAATTTCTTCATAAGTATGTAAAGTTTACATATTATTTATAAATACATAAACCATTTAATAAATGGTTTATGTATTTATAAATAATGTATAAAGTTTAGATACGACAGTGTTACATAGTAAAACTTTGCTATGTTTTGTAAAAAAACTTTCAAAGTTACTTTACAAAATATAGCAAATTCAAAGGTTTTTCAAAAAGTCTTTGAGATTGGCTTGAAAGAAAAATTAAAATTGAACACACTAAGCCATTACTGTATAAATATTTTAAATCATTTTCAGCATTTGTCTATTGCATAATTACAGAATATCCCTTCAGTTTGATAAAACATTTTACAAATCCAAAAAAAAGTAAGCCTTTACATATCTCAAACTTATTAATCGCTCTGAAATTCAGTCTGAATTTTAGTCTAAAATTTCATTTCTTAAACTTCTTATTGGCAGTGCATTTAAGAAACTTGAAAGCATGTCACATTTTCTTTTTTTTGTGTCTGTGAAATCGTTTTTTAAATGGATGACTGAATATTGATTTTAATTTACACTTTTAGTAGAGATTAATACTGATAATATCAGTTTTAACATCATATTTACACATCAGTAATAATATAACTGATATATAAATACTTTTTACAAAAATAAAATAAAAAAAACAAATAAAGTTCCTGTGTATGTTTACTCAAAATGCAAGTGCATATTCAATCAAAATCAAACCGCATTACTGCATATGACATTTTAAAAGAATTTTATAATTTTATTTCAACATAACTTCTTAATAAAAACGATGCGAATAAAATACGTTATTAAAATACACGCTATCATTAAACCACGCGTCCTATCTTTAGCTGTAAACCATTTACGGAACCAGCCGTAAACCATTTACGGAACCCACATGCCGATCCCATTAAAAACCCAGATTTTATTTGCGAAAATATTTTCACACCATATGGGACCAATCTGGCACCAAGAACAAATCCCAGCACGAACCCAATCCCACCAATCCCAGCTCAATCCCAACCAATCCCAACTGGGATCCAGTTGGGCTGGTTAACTGGGATTTTCATAAAGAGCAACAATTTTTTTTAGAAGCAATATTACCTACGTGAATTTTTTTAAAAAAACGTAGAAAATAACTGCAAAGTCCTGCAAACAAACAATGCCGACAAATTGGTGCATATTTACAAACACACCCATTTTAAAACTATAGAAAAAATAAAACAATCCAACTACATTAAAAAACCGTAAAATTGAGTGGGCTACACGAATATGTGAAATCCTACAATAATGATTTTAAAACATATCGAGAAATTCAAAAGACGTGTAAACTAAAAAAGACTTATGAACTTAAAACAATGTAACGATACAATAGACCTTAAGAATGTTATAACTTTACAAAATAACGAATCGGAAATACTAGACCATTGTAAAAGTTTTAATTATTACGAACAATATCTCTAAATGTCAATCAACTAGCAAACACTAACAAACAGCGACGAAAATAGTCAATACAAAATTTTTAACTTTTAACACATGTTCTATTTTTATTATTTATGTTTAAATTTTTATTTTTCATTTTATTAAAAAAACTTGCTTTTTTACATTCTATATTACATTCTATAAAATAGATTATATATTACATTTTATAAAGAGTTTTTTTTTTTCAAATGTTAAATTTTCAACATCTTTTTGCGGAAGCGATGAATTTATATTTAAATATTCAGCAAGCATCAAATAAAGACTTTCTTGAAACTACTTTTAGATCACTTCTTTTCAACTTAATTATTTAAGCTTGTTTAATATTTTTTATATAGTGAATTTATAACTTTTAATAAACGTCTTCGTCTTTGAACCATAGTATATCTTGTT